ACTGGAGCCAACAAAACACCCAAAGATGCCATCAAGGAAAAGTGAAAGGAAAACCCCTTCCACCAGGCTACAAACAGCTGCAGAGCACAAAAGGCTGTGCCAGCTTAGCCAGAGAGGTGCCCCAGCCCAGCAGAAAGGGCCCATCCATCCCCTGGCAGAGCTGTGGGTCAGGGGGTGGGGGCAGCAGGTGGGGCAGAGGCAGGAGTTTGTGCAGGGCTTTTGTTGAGCCACCAAATGAATTAAGATCCAGTGAGATGAATTAACATCCAGTGAAATGAATTAAGATCCAGTGAGATGAATTAACATCCAGTGACATGAATTAACCTCCATCACCCTCTCGCTCATCCCTCCCCACGGTGGCTCATCCTTTTCCCACTGTTCTGCTTCCCTTCACCTTCCTGCACGTCCTCCCCTGCCTGCTCCTGGTTTAGTAAGGATGGAGAGGAGATCCTGGCTGGCCCAGGAGAAGGGCTGGGATGTCCTGCCAGGCTGCAGCCACAGGCAGCTGTGCTGCCCTGTGAAAAGACTCCCATTCATCTCTGCGAGAGCAGAGCGTGCGGGGGAGGCAGCAGCAGCAGGGGAGGGGGAAGTGTTGGAGGAGGCTGAGAAAAGGAAGGAGGCCACAGTTAAAAATAGGATAAAAGGACATGAAGGGAAAAAAATGCAGATTTTTTTTTTTTAAGAAAAAAAAGCTTCGTTCGGAAAATGTGCTGCAGCTGGAGAAGCCATCGGCTGAGCACGGTCAGCTTTCACCTTCCCCCGCCCTCCTCCTCCTCCCCAAGCCCCTTCCCCCGAGCGTGGGCCTGGAAGCCGGCCCAGAAAGCGCTCCCAGAAAGCACTTTCCTCCGGGATTCTCCAGCGGGAAAAGAGCAGGGCTCGTGCAGGAGGAGGGGGCCACGTGGGGAAAGGCAGGGAGAGCTCCCCAGGGCTGCAGGAGGTCCTGTGGGACTCCTGGTTGGCTCCAGGCTGGGCTGGGCTGGAAGGGAGCTCACGGGGTCAGCAGGGTGAGGGCACATCCATCCCTGCTGTGATGGGGCAGAGCACCCCAGGATGTGTTGCTCCAGCTACAAGGGCTTTGCTCTCCTGCCCAAACCAGCCCAGGCTGCAGGGATTTGATGCCCACAAGGCACCAACTCTGCCTTTTCCTCTACAAAAGATCCCTGGAAGTGTCCCAGGCCAGGTTGGACGGGGCTTGGAGCAACCTGGGCTAGTGGAAGGAGTCCCTGCCCATGGCAAGGGTGGAACGAGGTCCCTTCCAACCCAACCCATTCTGGGATTCATTTCTCACTGAAAGTAAGATCACTCCCCCAAGTACTGCAGTAGTATCCAAAAGGCTGGGAATACCTTCATTCCAAGGGTGCTAATTCAGCACAGCAGTCCTAGAAACTTCAGCCAGGGTCCTTCCATCCTCACTGCCATCAGCAACAGCTTTAGCTCCCCTCTCACTGAGGAAAACAAACCCGGCCAGGGGGAAGGGATTGTCACAGTGGCCTTGGCTCAGAAAGGCAGCACAGCCAGGGCTGTGTCCATGCTGAAATTATCATGGAAGAACAGAATCCCTGAGTGGTTTGGGTTGGAAGAGACCTTAAAGATCATCTCACTTCAAACCCCCCACCCTGGGCAGGATGCCACGAAATCAAGTTGCTCAGAGCTCCATAATAATTTGATAATACCATTATCAAATCTTTTCCTTCACTCCAGCTTTATGCCTAACCTTGTATAATCCAAAAAAATACAGCCAGGGAGTAATATTAGGATACTGTTTCCTTATGAATGAAACATAAGTGTGACTCTCAGCATCCTCTCAGCAGGGCTGCCACTTTGGGCAGGCCCGTGGCATTTCTTTGGGCTGGCAGATGGATCAGCTGAGGTGCAGTGGCCTTTCCAGCCCTGATCCCACCTGTGCAAGGAGCAAAGCTCCTGTCCACAAACAGGCAGCAGTTCCCTTCTGGCTGGATTCATTCTGTCACCTCTGGGATGTGCCTTTCTCTGGCTGTGACCCCTGGTTGGTTCTCAGGGCAGTGATGTTCCCAACATGTGCCCCACAGACTGTGGCAGCAAACTAACAAATAAAACTGCCTCTGGTCCATCGCCAAATTTTGGCCTTTCAAACAAAAAAACCTCCACCCCTTCTTGTCTTCATCTACAGCTAAATCCACATCAGGCTTCCCTTTCTCCATATCACTGAATAATCTTATCAGCCTCAAGCACAGTGTAAATAAACTCAGCCAAGCTTCAAAGGCAAAACATCTCTAAACACAAGGCAGCTCTCAAACTTTTAGAAATAGTGTGGTTTCTATTGCAAGGGGATATATTCACACTTGCATTTTCCTTGTTGACTTGTTTCTTTCACCAACATCGAGACCATGAAAACCAAAATAGCCTCTAGTACACCAGAAGAATAGATGACAAATGGTTTTAATGTGCACCCGAGACACAAAGGAGAAATGAAAACTGTTCCTGGCCCTATATACAAATGAGAGTTTCCTCTCGTTTAAAATTAGAAACTGCTCTAGACTGAAGAAACAGCAGCACTAAAAAACAAATCAGAGAAAGAGTACCTTGCATTGCCACGGGCAGAACTGAAAAGTGACCCTCAGGTCTTGCAGGAGAACCAGAAGCCTGTTCTACCTGTGCCAAAGTGCCAAAAGTTTGATCAAAACCTATGGAAGACAGTGCCAACTTGAGTTTCTTTCCCTGGCCTCACTGAGGTTTGAAGGAGGCTCCAGCCTCTGGAAGAGGACATTTCACAGAGCCAGCGTGGGGTAATGAAGATCTGGGCTGCAGATATGTTGGTCCCTGGAGAGAGCACTTCCACAGAAAAGGGGAGAGGGGAGGGAAAAAAAAACCACTAAGAAAACTTTCCAGGCACAGATTTGCAAAATGTTTGAGCAAATCCAAATGCTGCCAGGGCAGATTTCATCAGAGCTGAGCTGACATCATGCTGAGAGAGGTCACCCACAGGAGTTGAGCAAATAGCTGGAATAAGGAGGGCTGGGAATAGGCAGAGGAGCTTTGCTCCAGCCACAGGCACAGCTCTCTGTGTCCACCTCCTGCTCACACACAAGCGCTCACCAAAGGAGAATGTAAAAAAACCCCAAATGCCTGAATCTTTGCCAAGGAGAGATTTCAGACTGTACATTTGACAACAGTCCCTGGTTCTGCTGAACTCTTTAGCTGCAAAAAGGCTCTGAACATCAGGGTTCTGCCTCCCCAAGGGGCCAATGTGAAGAACTAAAGAGCTGGGAACAAGCCACAGGAGAGCAGCACATGCCATGCCAAGGCTTACATGGGATTTAAGTGCTTCAAGACAGGCTTATGTGGGACTAAAGTGAAACATAAACTTCATATTGGCCCTTTGCAAAGGTCACATCTGTGTAACCTGAGCCCTTTCCCTCAGTTCTGTGCCCATGCCAGGCTGTACCTGAGCCCTCTGCTCTGCCACAGCACCACAGGGCTCTGGGCTGGGGTCCCAGCACCCATCCCAGGGGCAGGAGGAACAACTGCCCACCTGACACAGAATCCTAGGATGGGTTGGGTTGGAAGAGACCTAAATCCCATCTTGTTCCACCCCCTGCCAAGGGCAGGGACACCTTCCACTAGCCCAGATTGCTACAACCTGGCCTTGGACACTTCCAGGGATGGGACAGCCACAGCTTCTCTGGGCAACCTGGGCCAGGGCCTCACCACCCTGTGACTAAAGAATTCCCTTCTAATATCTAATCTAAATCTCTCCCCTTTTAGTTTAAAACTGTTCCCCTTGTCCCACCTGCCTGTGTGATCACATCTGCTGCCAGTTGGTTATGCAGGAATGGTTTAGGTTGGTCTGCTCTGGAATCCCAGAATGGTTTGGGTTGGATGGGACTCTACAAACCATCTCATCCCACCCCCCTGCCATGGGCAGGGACCCCTTCCACAAAAGCAGCCCAAAGTGCAAGCTCAGCTTGAAGATTCAGGTGTTGAACAACGTGTGGGGCAAGAATTAGTCAGCGGTGACTTTGTAACGGCTTTCGGGCTCTGAATGTGTCAGAGGAGCCCATCCTGCAGCACCCCCAGGGCACGGCTTCAGCTGGGCACACACCACAACCAGCATGGCCCAGCGTGGCCACACCTCCAGCTGCGGGACCTGGAGACTGTGACATCACCTTCCCAAGGAATCATGGAATCCCGGAAGGGGTTGGGTTGGAAGGGACCCTAAAGCCCATCTTGTCCCATCCCCTGCCATGGGCAGGGACACCTTCCACTAGCCCAGGTTGCTCCAAGCCCCGTCCAACCTGGCCTTGGACACTTCCAGGGATGGGGCAGCCACAGCTGCTCTGGGCAACCTGTGCCAGTGCAAGGCATGGAGCTACAAGAGACTCAAAACTACAACCACAGTGGAATGAAAACTTGTGAGTCCCCATTTCCTTGCAGCCTTCCATGAATGGCCCTTTCCAAAGCCACTCGCCAGGACATCAGTCCTGCAAATGCCATGAGAAATGCTGAAGATGCAACCAGCAGGTTGGCAGGTCCATCCTGCCCGCGGTCTCCTCCTGGAGACCCCCATGGCTGGGAAGATCCCAGCAAGCAGCAACCAGGGCTGCTGTCCCTAAATGCAAGGGGGGTGCACACAGGACTTCAAAATGTCAAAAAATCAGCAGAATCACCACTTGAAAGAGAAGTTCTCCCACACCATGGCAGGGAAGAAGGAAGCTCCCATCCTTCAGCATTGCTCTGACAGGAGAGGAATAGTTGAACAGAGCAGTTGTAAGGGTTTTATCTGCTTTCTGGCCCCATCTCCACTGACCCCAGCAAGGCAGGCACCAGCCTGGTGATGCTGTGCCTTGGGGATGCATTAAGGGCAAAAAAAACCAAGAAAGGAAGCCAGGACTGGGGCAGAAAGCAAATGTAGGAGGAAGGAGACCAGACTCTGGACAACAAACAGAGCACGGAGGGGCTTTAGGTTTGGTTGTTCACCCAAAGATGCCCCCGAGCCCCCCCAGCACCCCACAATGTCCTACCTGTGCCGTAGTGCTCCAGCCCCGTGGGCACCTCCTGCGTGCTGGGCTCGTCCCACAGCGGGCAGCAGGGCCGGGGGGGGCAGCAGGAGGCCTGGAAGCCACAGCTCACCCAGGGATCCTCGCAGGCACCGGCGGCTCCCGCCTTCTGGGAGGGGGAGAGGGGAAGTGTCAGCGGGGCAGGACCCCGAGAGAGCCACCCAGGGTGAAGCTTCCCCCAAAACAGAGAGTGAGCTCTGCTCCTGCAGGGTGTGCTCCCAAAAACTGTCCCTGAGGGGTGACACGGGGAGGCAAAAGGGGCCTTTTTGAACAGGTGGGAGGGAAAAGCAAAGGTGCAGAGCGAGGCCCTGCTCTGCAGGCCCCTCAGGAGGGGCTCCAGCAGGACACCCCTCATGGCAAGGCTTTGTTCCAGCCCCAAACTGGAACAGGGATTTTTTGGCAGCACAAGCAGGAGCCCCAAAAGCCCCCAGAAATGAGGAGGGTGCTGGGGGTGCAGAAGCCACAGCCCTGCCCAGGCATTATGGCCCCCATGCTGTGGGGTGAGCTGCCATGTGTCTGTTCCTGTTCCTATTTATGCTGATGTTATTTGTGATCATTACGCTTGTATTTATATTTATATTTGGGTTATTTATATTTATATTTGGGTTATTTATATTTATATTTGGGTTATTTGTATTTGTGTTTGGGCTATTTGTATTTGTGTTGGTTTTATTTCTGTGCCCATGGGCATACCTGTGTGTACACATAAAGGTATTCATGTGGGTATGAGATATACATCTCATATGTGCACATGTGTATTTATATACATAGATACCCATATATTTACATATATACACATGTATATTTATATAAACTATGTATTATTGCATTTATATTACATAATTATATAATTACATCATATAATTACATTATATATTATTACATAATATATATTACATAATATATTACATATATTACATAATATGCAATAAACAATATTGCATATTATATTACATATATAATATACCATCTATATATATCATCAGTATATACCATATATATAATACACCATATTATTATATTACATCACTTACATATAATACATTATATGTGTATATGCACACTATATATATTAATATATATAAGTATTTATATACCCTAGGTTAGAAGTCAATATGAATTACACTTTCATTTTTATGCTATATGAAGTTAGATTCAGCCTCTATAAAGAAAATATCTGTACTATATATACAAATTGTTATACATATATATACAAATTATATATACAAATTATATAGAGAATTGTTTGGGTTGGGAAAAGCCTTTAAGATTATCAATTCAGAAACAATCCCGGGATATAATTTTCATTTTGTTCTGTACAGACCTGTTTCATACATATATATTTATAAATATGTGTATTTATGGTGTGTATATATATGTACACACCATAAATATGCAGTATATATATGTGTGTATATACCTTATATATATATTTACCATATACATGTACATGTATATACATGTATACCATATAATATATATGTTGCATTTAAGTGGTTATCTCTTTGTAAGAGGATAATTACATACAAATACCTATAAATAAATGCAGGATGTTTTAATTTTTTATTATTATTACCATTTCCCCACAAGGGAAATGGCTTTGTTTCATCTCCAATCAATATTTTAAAAGCCAAATGCACACTCAGAACCATTTAAAGGGAAGATATGGAGCTGCCTCAGAAAAATCTCATGGCTCAGAGTGGCCTTTTCTTCCTATTTTGGTGAAAATTGTGCTTTTCAGCAAGTGTTCTGTGATTTCTCTAAATATGGAGATGATATCTCTAAATATTACTCTGATTTCTCTAAACATGGAGGTGATTTCTCAGAATTTGGAGGTGATTTCTCTAAATATGGAGGGGATTTCTATAAATATGGAGGAGATTTCTATAAATATGGGCCTGATATCTCTAAATATATGGGTCTGATTTCTCTAAATATTGGTCTGATATCTCTAAATGTGGGCTTGATTTCTCTAAATATGGGTCTGATATCTCAAAATATAGGTCTGATTTCTCTAATATGAAGGTGATTTTTCTAAATATTGGTCAAATTTCTCTAAATATAGAGGTGATTTCTCTAAATTTAGAGGTGATTTCTCTATGGGTCTGATTTCTCTAAATATGGGCTTGATATCTCTAAATATGGGTGATTTCTCCAAATATTGGTCAGATTTCTTGAGAAGTGGAGATGATTTCTCTAAATCTGGGTCTGCTTTCTCTAAAAAGGCTCAGGGCACTGCCAAGCCTGGCCCAAGCTGCTGGTCATTGGCCTGGCCATGCCCAGGGTCACACTCCAGGTTGTGTTATTTACAACTACCCATCACCTGCCCACACAGAACAGAGCTGGCTCAGCAGAGGGAGCACCGAAATTGTCCCAGACCTCCAGAAAAGGGAGGGAATCTTTGCCCAAGCTGTGCTTTGTGCTGTTCCCCCCACGCCCGGCCCTGCAGGTGAAGGTCAGCCCGGCCGCGGAGGCCCCGGGACAATGGGCCCTCCAAGAACCCTCCTCCCAACACAAGCGCAGGAAATCCGAGGCAGGATCCCATTTCCAGGGGAGGTTTGCAGGCTCCAGAGCTTCAGATAAGCTCTGGGTAAACACTGGGAATTCAGGAGCTGCTCTGAGCGGCCTAAAACCTGGGAGTACTCGGTGGATGACACCAAACCGTGTCCGTGGGCTGGAGAAAATCCCACTGCTGGGGTAGGAAAATAACCCCACTCCTTTCTTTCGTAGAATCCCAGACTGGTTTGGGTTGGAAGGGACCTTAAAGATCATTTAGTTCCATGGGCAGGGACACCTCCCACCAGCCCAGGTTGCTCCAAGCCCTGTCCAACCTGGCCTTGGGCACTTCCAGGGATGGGGCAGCCACAGCTTCTCTGGGCAACCTGGGCCAGGGCCTCCCCACCCTTGTAGTAAAGAACTTCTTCTTTATATTTAATCCAGACCCACCCTCCTCCAGCCTCAGGCTCTTCCCCCTGGTCCTGGGTGTTCCTTACCATCACTCCAGGCCGAGCCAAAGGATAAGGGGCTGCACTGCCGATGGTCGTGTCCATGTAGTAACTCATCATCTTGGAGGTGCCTGCAAAAATGGAGATGGATTAGATGACAGGCCACAAAAAGTGAGAGAAGCAGCTAAATCCCTGCTTTCTCACAGTCATAATCCCTGCTTTCTCAGAGCACACCATCACCTTAATGAGTGTGAGCTGGAAAAGTTAAGGGGAAAAATATCTGTATTAAGAGGAGATACTGTGATTAGATGGGTTGTATCAACAATGCAAACACAGATCCATTAGTGTAAACTGGGGAGAGCCTGACAATGGTGAATGAATTATCACCTGGAAGCTGATGGAGCTGCTCTGAGGGAAGATGAGATCATATTTCCTTTGCTGGAGAATCGGTGGGAAATCGTTGCCAATTTTTTTTCTTTTGAGAGAGAAAAAAGAAAAAAAAGCCACTTTGTTGAGCTCAACACCTTTCCTGTCACAGCTTGGTCACAACCAACCTGTTTCACAAAGAACTTTGCTGTTTTCAGGAGACATCCTCTGCTTTCCCACATGAGCTTATGTTTGCCTTGCTAAATCTCTGCCTTGCCTGGCATTCCTCACATGGGATTTACTCCCGTGAGCAAGTCCTACCAGAGCTGCTCTTTAAATGGGACATTTAATCACCCAGGAGCCCGTTTGTGTGGCTGAGGTGAAGGAGCTGCAAAGTGCCTCTGATATCAGAGCTGTGGATGTTTCTCCCTCTCTCCTTTAAGTGCCCAGTGGAAAGTGCAGGGCCAGGGCCCTTGGTTTTGGTGGATGTGACTCAAAGGTGCTGGAGGAAGGAGCAGAGGGGGAGGAGGCTGGGCAGGATGTGCCTGGGAGCCAAGGGAATGGCTGCTTCCATTTGGGGATAGAGGCACAGCCTGAGGGATGAGGAGCTGCTTTAACCAGAGGGGACAGAGCAGCTCCTCTGAAACCCCTCCGGGGTCCTGCAGAGCCCTGAGCTGCCAAATGCAACCACTGCAGATGCAAACACTTCTCTGAGTCGTCTCAGAATAAAACCACAGAGTCATGAGGGTTGGAAAAGTCCTCTGGGATCACCAATCCAACCATCCCCCAGCACTGCCAGGCCCACCCCTGCACCACATCCTCACATACCACATATACACAGTGTTCAAGAATGCCAGGGAAGGTGACTCCACCACTGTCTTGGGGAGCCTGTGCCAGTGCTGGATAACCCTTTGGGTGAAGAAATTTTCCCTAATATTTAACCTAAACCTCGTTGGTGCAACTTGAGGCCGTTCCCTCTCCTCTTGTGCCTTGTTCCCTGGGAGTAGAGCCCGACAACCCCCCACCGGCTCCCCCCTCCTGGCAGGGAGTTGCAGAGCCAGAAGGTGCCCCCTGAGCCTCCTTTTCTCCAGACTGAGCCCCCCCAGCTCCCTCAGCCTCTCATCAGACTTGTGCTTCACAAGGTTTGTGCTTGGTCCTTCTCCACAGAACCAGCACAGCCACGTTACCTTCAGCTCCACCCCTACACCGGCCCCTTGAACAGCTCCCGGAGGACTGGGATCTGCTCCCAGCCTTCCCTCTGCTCCCAGGGCTGGCCAGCAGTTCTCCAGCCCCCAGGACAGGGCAAGGCAGAGCTGTTGTGGCCGTGCCTCACTCACCACCTCAGCAAACAGGGACCCCGACATTGTTTCCCCCTGCTCGGTGAGTAATGGCCAAACACGGAACACCTGCGTGTGCAGGGTATTAAATGATCATCATCATTTCCTGCCTGTTATTACTGACTCTTGTTCTCACACCGGCATGGTTGTTTTTGAAAAACTTTTCTTTTTTTAATTCACAAAACTGAAAACTACCGAGGTGGTGGAAGAACAACGAGCCCATTTCTCTTTGTGCTGTACCCAAAACCACACCGAGTGTGAGTTACCGTGGCTGAGGAGCCTTAACTAATCTCAGCATCTGTGCACGCCCTCCCAGCCCTAACGAGGCGTTAAAACACGTTTGCTTCAGTCTCTTTGCAGCTGAGGCTGCAGCTGGGGAGACACAGACAGTGCTGGAGCCCCTTTCTGAGTAATCACAGAGTCCCAGAATGGTTTGGGTTGGAAAGGACCTCGAAGACCACCTCGTTTCACCTCCTGCCATGTGCAGGGACACCTTTCACTAACCAGGTTGTTCCAAGTCCCGTCCAACCTGGCCTTGGACATTCCCAGGGATGAAGTATCCCTGGAATGAAGGGCATCCCCTAAGGGAAGGTCAAGGCTCTCAGTCCCACACGCTGGTCCCCTGATCCTCACCCTCAGCACATATAAACCATCTCAGGTAAACGTGAACTGACCTTGCCCTAAAGCCAAGATTAGTGCTGCCAAACTGCACAGAACACGACAGACACTGTGAAATGGAGGCAGAGAGACCCTGGGGCTGGTTCACCTGTTTCAGAGCCACACACGTGTCCGAGAGTGAGGAGTTACAGCCCTCAAAGAGCAGTTCAGCAGCAGCTCCTGGGAGCAGCTTCTGTTGCTCTCTGCAGCCTGTGCAATAGGCAGTTGGGGTTTGCTCTGGGTTTTTTTTGCCTTTGATGAAGACACCTGAGTCCCACGGTTCTCGAGAGCTGCTTTCATGCCTCGCTGAGCGTCGTTTGCATCTCTCAGGCTGCACTTGCCAGCTGAACCTTCCAGCAAGGGGCCACACGCTGCTGCTCGAAGCCACATGTGCTGCAGTGACAGCAGAGGCACCAAACCCGTCCTGACACCCAGGACAAGGCTTTGTGCACTCAGGAATATCAATAAGATTTAACCAGAGCACCAGCAACCCCCTCCTGAGCCTGGGAAAGGTGAATTATCATCTCTAGGCAGCAGCTCCAAGAGGTTCACAGCCAGTTTGCTCTTTGGTTTCCCTCCCCCTCCGAACTGTGCTGTTAAAAATCACTGGTCGGGGGCAGAAACACAACACAAACCTCGGCAACTGTTTGCACTCCCACCCCTGGGGGTTGAAGACAAGCCCAGCCTAAATGCAGGTTAAGTCAGTCCCCCAACCTGATGCAGGTTTTGTGGATGACGGTGGTTAAAGGACAGAGAGACACAAGCTCCAGTCTGTGAAAAGGACCTGGAATCATGGAATGGTTTGGGTTGGAAGGGGTCTTAAAGATCATCTCTTTACAACCCACCTCCATGGGCAGAGATGCCACCCACTGAATGACAAGCCCTGGTAGAAAAGGATCCTGTGCACGGAATAATTGTGCTCTGGAAAAGCGGGTATGGAAGAGGAGGCCGGAGGGAGCTCTGCTGTGCTGTGTCCAGGCTAATTTTAACAGAACTTCCACCACTTCCCAGAGGAAACTACTTCACAGCCCAATACGTCTCTCACTGTCAGCAAGTTTCCCTGATGTTTGAGAGATATTTTGCTTCTCTTTGACTTCCTCTAATAAGAGCCTAAATAGTTCCTCCCCTCCCCTGGCTGCTGTCAGACAGCTCTGATGAGGGCCCTGAGCCGAGCTGAGCTCAGGACAGAGCCCATCAGGGCAGGTAACTTGGCTGAGATGGAGGAAATCACTGCAGATTTACCCCCAGATAATCCTGATCCAGAGCTTGCAGAGAGCTGGTAATTAATAGAAGGGAATCAGACCCATTTGGTAAAATCCTTAATGACTTAATAGCTTGACTTCAGCCTTATTGTTTGCCCTTATTATTCGTGTCTTATTGTGAAAACACATGTGGGAGAAACAGCATTTATTTTGGGAATTGATCAAGTACCAGCCAAAGCTATGAGACTCTTGGGTCATTTCTAAACTGAATTAAAATTTTAATTTCATTTCAACATCCATCCCTCCTCTTTTACAAGGTTTTTTTATCATTATTATTTTAAATCAATTACCAAGCTTAGTTTAAAAGGAAAACGCTGTTTGTCCTCATGATTAACACACACACACCCCCACCTCCTTTCAAAAGTTGGGAAGGAGTTTAAAATATATATTAGAACAAAACAAACTTCGCCTGTTTGATATATGAAGACACTTCACAATATTTTCATATAATGTTTTAGTTTTATAGTGTTTTAAGGATGGGGAGAGGGAAGTGGAGTGAGGCCACAGTGGCTTCCCAGTGGCAGAATCAACAGATTCCCATCTCTGTTTCCCAGTTTAATGTTGTAAAATGCAGAGGCTCAGACTGTTCCTCGGTTTCTGAGCTGTAGGACCACGCTGAGCTTCTGCCCACCCCACCCCCTGAGCCCCAGCTGGGCACCCAGGGAGGGTGTCCCTGCAGGGTGGCACAGCTGGGACAGCTGCTCACCGGGATTCGGGACCTTTTCCTCCATCCCAACAAACCAGGAAGATTCCTTTTCCACGGGGTCGCTCCTGGAGGATGGGGCAGCACCAGCAACCCCACCAAAGTGTTTCTGGCTTCAAGAGCCTGAATGAAGAGTTTAAAAAGGCAAAGCAGCCCCTTCCCCGTGGGCTGGCAGCTCCTGCCCCAGAGCTGCTCCCTGATAACCGCTTGATTTGTGCATCAAGGAATAATTCCTCATCTTTGAGGGGGTGGGGAGAAGAGCTGGTGGAAATGACATCCTTCCACAGGTCTTTAACCCCTGGCATCCTGGCACTTTCCAGGCCTCCTGCCAGCTCAGTTCTCAGGGGAGGGAGTGTTTGTTGATCCGTTGGCATGTTAAAAACCCCTTCAGTTCATCAAACCCTGGCACCAGCTTGAAATAAAGAGTATCCCTAAGGCAGGAGCATGAGCAGCAGAAATGAGTGTGCTTCCTTTATGCACAATCCATGCTTTTTAACTGCTGGAAATCCCACAGTTCTTAGGATTTCAAAACTTTGTAGTGTTCCTGCAGATAACAGCTGATTTAGTGAAGGGAAAGCAGGCAGGGCAGTAAATGCTGCTGTGGTAAAGAGATAGGAATGGTAAATAGAATAAAAATGGTAAATAGAGCAACAGTTTACCACTGTAAATAGAGTGACAGTGGTAAATAGAGTAGCAAAGGTAAATAGAATAGGAATGATAAAGAGAGTAACAATGGTAAATAGAGTAGCAATTGTAAATAGAGTCAAAATTGTAAATAGAGAGGTAATTGCCCTTCTGCACCCGCTGTAAATACTCCCAGAGGTTAAACGACCTGGCCGAGGTCACCCGGGGAAAGTGAGGGGGAGAGGATCCGAGCACTATCTTAGCTGCGGGGCGGGGACTGCCCCGGGATTAGCGTGTCCGGAGGAGTTTTTTGGGAAGGATGGGGCAGGGGCCGCCTGTCAGCACATCCCGTCTGCTTCAGCTGGGCTCTTTCTTCCCTCGGTGCCTGTCAGATCTGAAGGAGATATGATGGGACCTCAAGAGCCTTCCCATTTGGCTGGATAAACTCTGGCCGGGCTGGGTGACTGTGGTCGTGAGACAGTGCCAGGATGGTTCCCTTACACGTGTGCCTTTGCTCTCTGTGCTTGTAGCAAACTGCTTTTGCTTTAGCTTTCTCCTTTCCCCTGTTCATTCATCAATTACTCAGCTGCTAATTTATAATTAAGCTGAAGTAACCCCCCGTGAGCAGCCCAGCAGATGTATGGTGAGCTGACAGCCGGGTCATGGCAGGCAGAGGGGTTTAGGAGGGATGCTAAACCAGAGGGGCTGCTGCCATTAAATCATGCTGCTGCTGCAGCAGCTCCTGCAACTGCAGGGAGATGTGAAGGGCAGGTTAATTAGGTCATCTGTTCCTTCACTCCTGAATTTGCCCCTGTGAAGCAGCAGCCTCACAGCACAATGTCATGGGCCAGGGCCTCGGCCAGGAAAAATCCCAGGGGAGGGAATGGGATCCGGGGAATGGGATCTGTTCCCAGCCAGCAGGGAGGGATCCCCTGCCCCAGGGAAGGCTCTGACACCACAGGGAGCACGTTCCCCAGACCCCAGAGCCCAGGCTGCCCCTGGCACAGGGACTGCCAGCCCAGCTGGGAGGCTGTGCTGTGCTCCAGGATCCCTGCAGGACCCCCAGCAGGACAACTGGGACCAGCCTGCCCAGGTCTGATGGTGCTTTGAGAGCCCCCCTCTTCCCCAGGCACCCAAACTGCTGTGGAAAGGGAGGGTACCCTTCATTTCTCTGGGCCAGATGTATAAAGAGGGAAACATTTTTCTGCCTTGGAGGAGCATGTGGTACCCCAAAACTCTGCAGTGAAGCCGAGGACAAGGGACACACACACAGACCAGTGCTGGGGGCACAAAATGCACCTACACACCCCCCAGCCTCTGGGTGAGGGAATGCATCCCCAAAAGTGACTGGGAAGACCAAAAAAATCAGGTTTTTCAGGAAATTATGTACATGACAGGCAGGGGAAAGCTTGAAAACCAGCAGAATGAGAGGCAGCACGAGCAGGCTGTGCAGGAAACCACTCTGGAGCCAGCCCACAGCCCCCAAAGGTGTCAGTTGACAGCCCAGGATGGGAAGTTGATGGTGGCTGTAATAGCCAGTGAGTGGCCACATGCAAAGCAATGATTTCGAGACTAATGGGAAGGGGGAAGGCCTCGGCTGGGCTCCTCAGGGACTCCCCATTCCCTCTGCCTGGGCTGGCAGGGCAGGCTCTGCCCTTCCCGGGGAATGGCAGTGGCACAGCAGCACATCCCCGGGGCTGCCACACTGCACATCCTCCCACCAGCCAGGGCTGGCACCTGTGGCACCGTGTGCCCTTGGAGGGATGGCATTGCTGGGGAAAACACACCCAGGTGTCACAGCAAACCCCTTCCAAGATCCCTCCAAGGCAGGAATCTGCTCCTGTCTGAGGGGCTGCTCCATGTGAGGAGTGAACATCCGACCCCGAGCGCTTGGATTCTCCCCTCCCTCACAGCAAATACAAACCAACCCCCTTTCAAACCCAAATTACAACTCAAAACATAAAAGGAACTACAAATTTAATCCACTGCACAAATGCCAAGGCACAGCCTTCTGCCTAGACAAGGAAAAAAATAATATTCCCCTAAATATCCATATCAAATTTATATACCTGATATTAAAAAAAAAAAAGGATTTTTGAAGGGAAGCATCAGCTCAGACATTTCTATAAGACCTTTCAGTAGCAAACACACAAATCAGTTACTGGGTAAGACTGGAAATGGGGAGAGGAAAAGTAAATCACCAACAAAACAAATCTGAGATGCCCTGAAAATTTCCTGGTACCTCCAACCCACAAAATAGTTTAAAGAGCCTCTCTTCCCCCTCCACTTACGACTCAGCTGGAAAACCCAGGGAAAAGCTTAAGTCCTCCACGGCTTCCCACACTTGTCTCCGCTCTCTTCCCAACTACCTGGTGTATCCTGCGCGCCGGAGAGGATGGAAATCCCATCGTGTGTGCGGCAGGGCTGCCTATTCAAAGGGAGGGGGAGTGGTCAGCCCCGCACCCAGGGCTGCGAAAGGCGATTCCAGCCGCCAGCCAGGAAAAAACCACCTCTGGCAGCTGTCACGGCGCTGGGGAGGCAAACCCGACGTGAGCTGGAGGCGCTGCTGGGGCAGCGAGGGGCGGCCTCGGGGTCCCGTGTCCTGCACAGGGGTCCGAGGGGTTCAGCCCGCTGGGAAGTTCTGCTCCAGCCCCTCGGATCCCGGCGAGTGGAGTTTGTTCTCGCCCAGGAGCTGAACTAAAGGCTGGCAGAGCACGGCCGGGCTGAGGTTTATCCAGCCCCATCCCCCGATCCCAGCCCAGCTCCTGCCCCTGCCTGCAGGGGCCTCATGGCAGGAGCTGCTGTTCCCACCTGGAGGTCCCCTGGGCCTCTGCCTACCCTGCTCCCCTGGATATTCGGATTATCTGGGCTTTCTGCCCCTTGGCACGTGCCTCTGCAGCCAGGAATGCCAAAGGAATGCCACGGGAGCTGCTGCTGGCTTCTGAAGTCATAAGGGCTGAAGGAACCCCCCCTTACAGGAGGTACCAGAGAGGGGAGATGCTGGATCAGCTCCCTCCTCTGACAGAGGTGAATGGTCCCAACCTGCATCACCCCAAAACTGCTCTTAAGGAGGGTGATGGGGGTGTCCAGGGGCTCTTCAGAGAGGAGAAGGCTGTTGGGACCACAGGGGCAGGAGAGCTGGCCAGGACAAGGCAGGGGGGCACAGGCACAGGTTGCACTGCAATAACTCCAGTAACGTCCGTGTGAATTATCCAGAGGCTCTGGGAGAGCGGGATCCGGGGCTGCCTCACCAGACACCCCTGTCTTCCCTTTCTCAGCCTGCCCGACCCTGCCAGCCTGGCCAGAGACCTCCCAAACGCCAGTGATGCCCCCAGATCCTGGCTGCAGGAGGACGTGCCCATCCTGCCTCTCCTGCTCTCCCTCTGCGGGCAGCAAAGCTCCCTTTTCCTCCAGGAGAGGGCTCCAGGCTGGGAATCCTGTCCAGCTCCAGCACAGATCCCCAGCAGGTTGTAAAATAGCTGTGGCTGAGCCCTGGCCGGGGGCAAAGCCCAAACTCCAGGGGTTCCATGGGGGCTGTTCCGGGACAGGCAAAATGGGAGGCTGGGAAGAGCTGCTGGGATTTTCCCTAGAGATCCCACTAGAAAATGTAATATAAGAGTAAAACCAAGGCCCCAGCCATGGGGCTCAGCCCTCACTGCCTCCAGGCACTGACACAATAACGTTCTTCTTGTAGGGTATTTGCACCTTTCCAGGGAATTTGGCAGCATCCTCCTATTCAAAAAATGCAGCCTGTCCCTCTGAGCTCTGCCACTGCAAATCCAGGCTGAAGGATTGGCCTGGGGGAAAAATAACTCCTGGGGACACCCTTTCCCAGCCCAAACGTGGGTATTTTAGGTCACATCAGCCAAGTGGACATTTGCAAAATGCAAACCTAAGCTGGATTTGCTCTCAGGTGGATAATTCCTGCCTGCATGAGGCTTTTGTGGCAGCACCAACAACCAAATCAAATGTGCAAAATGAGTGTCCACAGGCACAAAGTCCCTCCTGCTCCCCCCACCCCAGTCCAGGAGGTTGCTGGAGTGCACAAAAGGACAAATAGCAAGAAACCCCCCATTATTTATGCACATAAAACTCTTCCCAGGCCCTTCCAGACTTTCTCAAGCTCCCAAATGATGAATGAATCTCAGCTTTAGCCCTGAACTCACACACACAGCTCCAGGTGGCCCGAACACACGTTACCTGTTGAACTTGCAGCCCAAGGCATGGATCCCTCTTGTAGTTCTTTTAACACAGGAAATCATTTACAGGGTTCCCGTCTTCCCAGAAAGGTTTCCAGCCTCCTGGGCTTTGCTACAAAGGCTCTGTCACATCTGAGCTCCAAAGGAGTGGAATTCATCCAGCAATCAATTTTCATCTGGGCAACTCTTCCCGGAATAACCCCCTGGCAGCTGCAAACAAGATGTCCTTCCCTGGGCTGGAGGTTTCTCTCTGCACAGTTGTTTGGATGCAATAATCCATATATTAATAGCTCTGTGCATGGCTGTCCAGTCCACTGGGTGTCTGGGAAATGGAGAGGCTTCTGCTTTCGGGTGTTTTTTTCCACCAGCACAGTGGCTGCTGCAGGAAAATCACCTCTCAGCTTCTGGAATCACAGAATAGTGGAATGATTTGGGTGGGAAGGGTCCTTGAAGATCATCTTATCCCATGGTCTCCTGGTTTCAGAGTTGCTGTTGTCACACCAGTCACCTGAACCAGTTGTTTCAGCTCATAAGGAAAAGCTGGGTTAAATTTCGGGCAGCTTGTGGAATTCATCCCAAAGTCCTTGTACTTTCCATTGCAGCTGGTTTGGGTTTGCTTTGTGCTCATAAAAAAATGAAATGACTCCTCAGTGTTTCCCTGGAGTGGTTATTAATGTTTTCACTGAATTGGAGGTGCCCTGGGGAGGTTTCACGGGTTGTGCACCATCAGGCTGCTGAAATCTGGGGGCTCACAGGCTCCTCCTGGGCAGTGCAGGACAAATAACCTGAGAAATCCTTTCCCAATAACCTGAGAAATCCCTGTCTCCATTTGGGATGGAATCCGAGAGCAACATCATGCTGGGGGTGGCTGCAACTTGAGATGGTCCTGGTTTGCATCCTGGAGCTGGGAGTGAGCACAGATCACCTGGACAGAACTCAGCACAGCTCTGAGTGTCCCCAGCTGTCCCCAACTGTCCCCAACCCCGAGTCACCCTCTTGCAGCCCTGGGAATGTTTTCCAGGGAGAGATCCTTGGGGTCCTGCTTGAGGATCAGAAGCCACTGAGGGTGAGAAGCTGCATGTAATAAGCTTCCAGAGGCCTTTATGGGTCTCTAAGTATCATCATTTCCATATTACACTGGAAAAACAGAGCAGGAACCAATAAAAGGATCCTGAGGGCCTGGATCTCTCTGCTTTCTGCAGTTCCATGATGAACCCAGTGCCAGGGAGTCAAAAGGCATTCCTGGTTTGGAGGGTGACCTTCCCAGCCTGTTTGCCCTGGGAGAAGGGGACCAGCTGGATCGAGGAGCTGCCTGTGCCTGTGAATCTGCAGCAGGTTTGCCCAGGCTGCCACAACGTCCCCTCCTGCCCCTCCTCCAGATCCAGGCTGACACACAGCCTGGGCCCAGATGGCTCAGCAGGGCTCCCCCAGCAGCTCTGCACGTCTGGGCTCCAGGCACTGAGGCTCTGCAGAGCTGCCTGGTCTCCACAGCCAACTGGGACCCTCACACAGAAAATCAGGATAATACTGTTTTTTTTTGCTGAGGGTGTCCCTCCCGCTCCTGGCTGGGTGGTGGAACCCAGGAGGGCCCAGATTCCAGCCCTGAGGTCATTGCACAAACCACTGACCCCTCGCTGTCCTGGGCTGTGTGTCTGTCAGCTGAGGGAGAACAAAAAGGTCACTTTGATACTGCACAAAGGCCTGGAGATACAGAGAGGTTCCCAGGTTTATCAGCTCCCCATGGAAGCCAAATGCAGGGAAATCTCTGAATTCTTACATCACCCAAGTCCTTTCTCCTGCTGACCCCCAGCGTTTGTGACTCTGAAGAGACTGAGCCATGGAAGGAGAAGCCCAGGGACCCCAAAGGATGTTGGAGTCAGGCCCGGAGCCCTGGAATGGTGGCTGTGGAAAGCCAACTGACCCCAGCAGAGCTCAGCCCTTCTGGCCAGTGAGCCAGGGACCAACACCCTCTGAACTCCCTCCTTCTGTGGAGCCCTGTCTGAGCTGAGGGGAAATATCTGCCCTCAAAAGTAGGAGAAGAAGGTTTTTCCACCCTTGGGCCAGGCAGGAGCTCAAATCTGGGATCTCCATTATCTTGGTCCCAGTGTGATGGTACAGGGTATCCTCTAAAATAGAACAAATTTGGGGGGTACAGGAACATCCTGAATGATTAAACTGGTCCACGAGGGACTTTTGTGATGCTTTTTTAGGTTAGAAGCTTCTACACATAAATCACCTTCTTATTAATCATGATAATTGTTATAAACTTGGTTTATCTCACTTCTATGAGGGAGATAAGACCCATGGGCTTTAAACAGGGAACTTATGAAGGTGTCAGACTGGCCTGGGGAAGACACCACATGCAGGAGAATTCCATGTCCATCTTGGGTCTGTGCATGTGGCTCTAAACACAGGGACGTGCAGAGATGGGAAAACCCAAAATAACACCCAGTGCCAACAGGATTTTCTCCCCTGTGAGGGTGGGGAGGCCCTGGCACAGGTTGCCCAGAGAAGCTGTGGCTGCCCCTGGATCCCTGCAAGTGTCCAAGGCCAGGTTGGATGGGGCTTGGAGCAACCTGGGCTACTGGAAAGTGTCTCTGCCCACGGCAGGGGGTGGGATGGGATGGGCTTTGCTCTCCCTTCCAACTCAAACCAGGCTGGGATTCTGGGATTTAATGATCTTTTCATTCTGGAAGAGGAAGTGAGAAATTTCCACTCAGCTCTAACTCCGATGTTAAGCAACAGCGCTGGGGAAGTTCCAGCCATAACATCACCAGCCTGGGCCCTTGAGAGGCAAAGGCATGAATTTTGCCTCGTTAGCACAAAAACTGATCCCTTCCCTAAAGGCCAAAGTGAATATTGTCAGTGCAAACCCTTCTGTGCCCCACTCACCCCATTAACAGCACAGGGGAAGGATGCCCAGGAACCCCTGGCAGCTACAAGAACAAGGGAAATCAGTTATCATTCATGAAAATATTAACTGGAAAATCAGTCATCATTTACCAGTTCTCGCATTTCAAGAAAAATTTGACCTGGGTGTTGGGAGAAGGATCTTTTATTAGACTGTCTGATACACTCAGATAGGATTTCATCACATATACACCCTCTTCAAACTGTAAATTAAAATCCTCCTCCGAAATCAGTTAATCTAAGGCTATAAAGCCAGATTTCAGAAGTGCTCTTTTCCCAGGCAAGATGTATAAATAAAGATCAGATTT